AAATAAAATAAAATAAAATAAAAAAACAACAAACTTATTCAGACTCACACAGCTCGAAATTGGGATTTGAACCTAGGCCACATGAGTCCAGAACCAAGCTTTAAGAGCTGTGCTACACGGCAGACTGAACTAACTCATACTATGGTGTGAGTGACTGACAAATGTATCCGCATGGAAATTCAGTCTCTTACATGATTTTGCATCGTAAAGGAGGAGTTTCAGAATCCAAAGGTAGGGAGTGTGAATGCTATTATTTTTTGGACAAGGTAGTTAGTCTTATAGGATCTCGTAAATTATACTGCACAGATTACCAGGAGTTCACACTTTGTCTATTAAGACAAGAAAAGCTGAAGTTGGTCAGTGAGTTTAAAAGCGTTTGTGAATAAAAGAAAGGGGAGACATGGTAAGCAGAATTTAGTTGTTTTTTTTTTTTTTTTTAAGGAGAGAAGGATCTGTGCCTATGTGAAGGCAGAGGGAAGGCCCTGTGGGGAAGGATCCACTGGAGGTACTCAAGAGGGCAGGGGAGACACTTGGGGTGTTTCCAAAGAATCAGAAGGAAGTAGGCTCTCAGGTATTGGGAGGGGCTTCCCTCTATCAATTAGGAAACCCCTTCCCCCACCTCCCCCGAGTATGAAGGGAAGCTAAGGGGATAAACGAGGAGACAGATGTGTGTGGAAGTGACAGATGAGGTGGGCAGAGGGAGAGCATGAGACCACCTTGGTGTACTTGGCAAGGAAACTGGAGATGCATTTCTCATCTTCTGTGAGGGTGGAGAGGGCATTCGGGAACCAGGAGGCTCAAGCAGGAAGGAGGCAGTACAGAAACCTCAGGAGTAAATCTCTGCAGAAAAGACCAGCACTGGGGATGGTGGAGTCGAAGTCTCCTCTGCCAAGCTCCAGGTTCCCCCCTGAGATTTTCTCTCCTCTCCATTCTAACCGCAGAAAGGCCCCTCGACCTCAGGCTGGGTCCTCAGATCAGAACTGGGTGATTTGGGGCGGGGCCTGACCGAGCCTTCTCCTCCTGCTCTCCCCTTCGTCTCTGGTGCTCTCTTGGTCACTTTGAGTACAGCCTGAATGAGCGCCCTGATGCACCATGAACACATTTTCCTAAAGAAATTCTATCTGAGTCACAGCACATCCCAAGTAAGTGTCACCAAGAAGGAGCAGCTCCTTCCTGGGCCACCTCAGGAACACTGAAAACTGTGTCCAGGAAACCTGAGTTCAGACATTCACAGGATGAGGCCCATCTCTGACAGGATTCCTTGTTGGTGTTTTAGGAGACGAGGAGGAAGATGGAGGTGATGAAGACAGGTTGGATGGTGCAGCCAGGGGCCCTGGGCCCAGGGGGGCAGTTGGGATGGTGTCAGAGACCCACCTTGCCCGGAGGCTCACGAAAGGAAAGAAGAGTCGGCGGATGCTGTCCAACAAGCCTCAGGACTTCCAGGTGGGAACAGCCCGCGGGCCCCACATTTTGGTTTTACCACCATATTGCCCAGCTTCTGGCAATTGCAGTGCTGCTGGGAAGGACCTATTGCTATGTGCAGCATCCCGACGAGCAAAATGGGACATCAGGGAGTAAACCCAAGAAGAAGAGCTGTCCCTCTCTGTTTTGCATGCAAGAGTAGATGGAATCAAGCCAGATGAGGCTCTTCAGAGAAATAGAATTATACGCCTCCTTCCCCTTGGTGGTAGGAAAGAATAGAAGCACAATAGTGCATCTTCATAGTTCTGGGCGCTTCCTTGGCAGACAGCGGTGGAGTGAGTTAGTACATCCCAGGCTCAGGCAGACCAGGTGGGAGGCTGGGCTCAGAGCAGCGCCTCCCTGCTTCTCCCCCAGCCCTGCTCTGCCCTTTCCTGGGCCAGCTCTGGACTGTTTCAACCCTCCTCCTGCTGTCGGTTTCTCCAACCCAACCCCAGCTCCACCTTGGGAATGAGCAGGGGGGCCACCCCCAGTCCGTGCACACCTGCCCTGGCCCTTCAGCGATCCTTACAGGCAGACGGGCCGACCTGGCACCTGAGGATTCTCTCACCCGGCGCTGGGAAAGGATCAGTAATGAGCCCCCTTCTGTGCCTGCAGATCCGTGTCCGAGTGATTGAGGGCCGCCAGTTAAGTGGCAACAACATCAGGCCTGTGGTCAAGGTCCATGTCTGTGGCCAGACACACCGAACAAGGATCAAGAGAGGGAACAACCCATTTTATGATGAGGTAAATGGGCGTGATATCGGTTTCTGCTCAGTGAGTCTGTTCTATCTATACCCACCTTCCTGCCTTCCACCCCCTCTCCCCTGTCCCACGTGGAAGGGGATCTTGTGGGCCAACATCTGGTAAAGACAAGGCAGAGTTCCAGCGTTCAAGAGTCTTAAGAAGCACTGGGTCTTGAAATCACACGGCCTGGCTCTCAGAGCTGCCCTGACGGATCCTTGCTCCCGTAAGGGTGGAGCACGTGAAGTCACCCGCATCTGCCTTTGCTCTTTCTAATCAGCAGGATGTCTCTGAGGGATCGCTAAGTAATTTCTGTGATCGCTTTGCTACTTTAAAAAAAAAAAGCACAGCCAGCACATTTTCACAATTAAGACCATTTGATGCTGGACCCTCAGAGAAGAAAAAAAAAATACCAAGTTTCAGTCACAGCTCTAAGGCGGATGTTACAATTTTCACAAGGACAGCAATGGCTGACTTTTTAAAGGTGTCAAAACCTACCTGGCTGTAAAAATAACATACGTAAAAGGAAAGCAATTAGGAGCCAAAAGGGTTTTCTTTTCCCTCCCACACTGAGAATACAATCCTTCTGCTGACCTCTTCTCTGTAACACTCCTCAAAAGCGCTGAATACCTTGGTAGTCACCTCAGGTACCACAAAACTCCACAATCAGGGCTGTGAGGAGAAATGAGGTTTGGGGAGGTTTCCGAGCCCAGCCTTGCTCTGCGGAGGAGACGCATTTCTGAGATTCCTCAGGCGTGAGTCCCACGCCCGGTTCTCTGAGCCCGGGCCTTCCCTACCATGGTTTCCTGTCATCGTTCCTCTGAGTTCCCAGCCCCGGCTCCAGCTTTTGTTCTTTTTCCTGCCCCTGTGCATAAAAGGAACTGGTTTCTTCTCTCTGGTGTTCCAGTTTCTCCCCCTTTGTTCAGGCTGGTCCTCCCTTCACAGAAGGCCCATCTTCTTCTCACTTGTCACTTCTCCTCCTTGGATGAGCTGCAGACAACAGCATGCTGCTAAGTCGTGTCAATGCAGACAGGAGATGTGGGTGTGCGCTGGTGGGGGGGGGGGCACTTAAGTGGACTTCGGGAAAGCCTGAGAGGGGCTCACTGGGGAGGAGAAGACTGGACTGCAGGGAGGACAAGCTGCTGGGCAATTTGACACCTAAGGTGTGATGCGTTTATCATGCGGGATGAATATTTACTCAGCTACATTCTGAGGAGCACGGCAAGAATCTCCACCTTAGAATTTTCCCATCATAATGAATTTTTTTTGAGATTAGATCTCTGGGCAAAAGGGAAGAATCAAATACTTGAGACTCGAAGCAGATCAGTTCAGGAATCGATAAAATTATTTACTAAAAAAAAAAAAAAATCCCTAGTTTACCTACATCTTCTTAACCAAGTGATTAAACTTGTTATCATGTGTGTGTCCTGATATAATATAATAGAAGGATCAATATCATCTGTGTAATTTCTTGTGAAATGGCCAATTTGAATCTAATGGTGAGGAAATATTCACACAAATCCAGATTGTGGGATATTCTACAAGGCAACAGATCTTGATAGAAAAAAAATAAATAACAAAAATAGGCAGGAGCACAGTTCTATATAAAAGGAAACTAAAGCTGGGGCACCTGGGTGGCACAGTCAGTTAAGCGTCTGACTCTTGGTTTCAGCTCAGGTCATGATCTCAGGGTCCGTGAGATCAAGCCCCATCTGTGTGGTCTGGCTCCATGCTCATTGCAGAGTCTGCTTGGGATTCTTTCCCTCTTCCTCTCCCCCTCCCTCTGCTTTCCCTCCTGCTCTCGCTCTCTCTCTCCCTCTAAAAGTAAAAAAAAAAAAAAGGAAACTAAAGAGACACAACAACCAAATGTAGTATGATCCTTGAGTGGATCCCAGATGTTTTTTAAAAAGGTTAAAAAGAACTTTTTTCAGGACAATTGTAGGGAACTCAACTCAACTTTCCAGGTCATGCAAGCCCCAAGCGCGCATTTTAGTGAGATTTGCAGCAGGAAGGAACCTTAGATCTTTACATCAGTTAGCATATTTCTGGTCTCTTTCATTACATAAATGCTATAGTTGTTACATACCTCTTTTTCCTTTTTCCAACATGCAAAGGTGAGTTTGCCAAGAAGCTCATGCTGCTTAAGCTTCGTGGCCTTTTTGAGGGCCCTGCAATGCGTTCTCATGGTCAAACCTACCTTGGGGGTTATGTTTTATCATTTTTTAGGAGAGTTCCCACATTGTAGCATTGGATCACACTAAACCTGAGTCCACCTCTGTTAACATTCAAACATTTTTCTCTTCCGTTTTGACAGTTATTTTTCTACAACATCCACATGACCCCTTCTGAACTGATGGATGAAATCATCAGCATTCGGGTAAGGGGGCTACAGAGAAGAAAGGTCATGCTCTCTAACTGCCAGATAAAGCCAGGAAGCTTCTCATGGCTCTTCTTTCTTCCAGGTTTATAATTCCCATTCTTTGCGGGCAGATTGTCTGATGGGGGAATTTAAGGTGGGTGCCAACCATCTGTTTCGTTCAACTTAGATGGACACTTTCGTAATGAGGAGTCAGGTTCCTGGCCAGGTATCAGGCTGTCCGCCTTGATGACATCTTAAAGTTATGTGTGAGGGATTCACGCCATGGTCTTTGCTGAGGGCTGGCATGCCAAAAGGATATGTATGCCCCAAGGGCCACAAACCAGTCAAGTGTTCCCTGGCCTGGGTCTAGTCACCTTCTAAAGTGCAACACTTACTGTGCCTTAAGCAAATGCTAGGAAGCTGCCACCTCAGGGCGCTCCCAGAGTTGCAGCTGTGGATGGAAGCCAATGTGGTGCTACAGTGGCAAGAAGCCCATCCCCCAGCTCCACTTACCAGCGGTCCCAGTGCCCCATCTACAAGGCCAATTGTAAATCTGGACAAGGAAAAGCAAGCCAAAACAGGACAGAGAATCAGAGTGGTTTTCCAGGTAACTCTCGTTGGAATCAAAGACAAATAGTTGGTGGGTGCTTCCCAGCAATTCTACGTGGAATGGGCTGCCTCTCAAAGGAAGGGGCTCAAAGGAAGTCCTAGAGAACGATCTGGATCAGGCATACGTGTGTTCATACCCTGTCTGCCACCAACTAGCCACATACCCACTGATCCTTAGTTTCCTTTGCAAAATGGAGTCATTGTGAAGACTAAGTGGGATAGAATATATAAAACATCTAGTACAGTGCTTGGCACATTGAAGTGCCCAGTCGATGGTTATATTAACATTAGCATTAGCTGGAGGAGAAGGAAGAGGAATATTGGATAGGAAATTGAGCCAGGTGAATACCCATAGGGTGACCAAAGTCCAAGTTTGCCTGGGACTGAGGGATTTCACAGAACGTGAGACTTTCTGTGCTCAGAGAAAAGTTCCAAGCAAACCAGGACACATTGGTCATCCTACTTCCATGGTCCTTTCTAGCTCTAAGACTAGCTAGTTCATTCATTCGAAATGATTGATTGAGGGGAGGGTCTTCTGTGTGCCACCCATCAGGCAGGGCATTGGGGATGCAAAGGGGGTAAGATGGAAATGTTCTCAAAGAAATTGAAGTCTTGTCAAGAGCCTCATATTTAAATATAATAATGATGATTTATTTGCAGCGACTAAACTGATTTTAAAATCTATTTGAGCTATTTTAAATTATCTTTTCCCAGATTGATGTTGGATTCATTTATGATGAACCTGGTAAGTAAGTAATGTTCTTTCTCCCCATGAACTTGAAGATTCTGGGAATCAAGAAAATCTGACAGAATCAAAAAATGAATAAAAAATTTTTTTTCTTGACTGAGGAGGGGAAGGATACTTAGCAGGAATGAATAATAATAGCTTAATGTGGATATCTTTTTTTAATCTAACGGTACTTATCCTAACATTCACAAGTAGGTAACTTCTCTGTTTTGTGATGATATTTTGATCTTATCAAAATCAAATTATAAAACTAATAGAGCTTAGAGAGCCTTCTTTGAGTGACACCAGGGCAGGATTGGGGCTGGGGGCTGGTCAGTGCAAAGTAGGGGACATTAATATAGAGACTCATCTGGCAAACTTGGTGTCATTATGATACTTCAGAGGAAAGAACTGTTTATCTTGCAGCAGATGAAATCACAGACCTGTCAGTTTATCTTTAGGGTGTCCCTGTCCTTTTAATCCTTATTTTAGGTCATGCTGTCATGAGAAAATGGCTTCTCCTCAATGCCCCTGAAGATGCCAGCTCGGGTGCTAAAGGTTACATGAAAGTCAGCATGTTCATCCTGGGAACCGGAGATGAGCCTCCTGTGAGCCCCTCTGTTCTCTACCTTTTACATTTTTTCACTAAGAAAGGGGACCAAGAGTTAAGCAAGTGGGCATCAGTCATTGTGAAAAGCAACACAGCTTCCAATCAATAACCCCAACCTTCCAACTCCTCCTATTTTTTTGGAAGCTGTTCATTTCTTCACGACGGAGCTATTCTTCTAGCTCACTTGGACTCCTTCCTGGTGTCCATGAGTGCGTTTTTCATTCAGTAAAGATATGTGTGTTTTCAAGACTCCTCTGCATCATTTTACCTACAGAGTATGGCTCACTTGCAGACTCAGGCATTGCTACCAGGAGGGACAGTTGTCCTTCTAGGAGGCCGGACAACAAATTGGGAGACAGGAAGTGCCCAAGGGAAATCGGAAAAACTTCAGGAACTGTCTCTCTCTTCCTCTCCTATTTAGTGCTCATAGAATTACAAAAGGTCGCGTTATTTTTTTGTGGTGTATTGATTGAAGAAACTTAGGAGCTTTGATTTTGCAGCCCAATTTCGAGGTCAAATTGGTAGCTGAACTCTTAAGCCCGAAGCACAGGAAATCCCAATGGAAACAATTCCAGTTGGTTTCATTTTATAAGTGACAGTTTGGCTTCTTACACGTGCTGCTTCTCTCTGTGTCTCATTTGTAATCGTGTCTCCCCAATAGACTGAGAAGCGAGACCGTGATGATAGCGATGACGTGGAGAGTAATCTGTTACTCCCTGCTGGCATCACCCTCCGGTGGGTGACCTTCTTGCTTAAAATCTACCGAGCAGAGGACATCCCCCAGAGTACGTATGGATTTCATTCTGCCCCCGGATGACCAGTTCTCTCCATGATCACATGTGGTAACATCATACTCTGAATAGTGATTGGTGCTACCTGTCGTATGTTTTTCTTTCTGAAGGCCTCCAGGGGCTTCTTTTCATTCGTTCTGGCCCCATGAAAGCTACCTGAGCAGGTTGGTGGGACCGCCAGCTGGTCACTGATCCATGTTCCTTATTAAGCCTTTGGCCCATCCTGCTCCGTCTCTTCCCTCCTACCCTCTTTCTACATCTTCTCCTTATTCTGGAAGGACACTGAAGAGAGGGCAGCAGGCAGAACTTCCAACTCCTTTCATCCCAAGGGAGAATAGGAAATTTGGGGAACAGATAAATGTGTTTGTTATTAAATTATTAAAAACGGCTGAGCAAAGGGTCGTTAAGTGCCAATAACTAGTGATCTGTCAACGTTTTGTTATGAGGTACATATAACAAGAGATTGGATGCACTTAAGAGAATCAGTTACGGTGATTTTACTCATAGAGACTAGTCCAGATGCTCCTGGGTCCTTGCCAGGGACCCAGTGTCCTTCTGCCCTGCCCAGCCTGTCTGCTTCCTGCATGGGACCCCTCTCCCAGTCCCCAGGAGTCAGCACTCTGTCTAGAGGCCATGGATCTCTTCAGGATTTGCTACTTTCCCTGGGAACCCACTCCCTCTCTTGTTTAACACCCTATAACACTTACCTCATCTCTCCTCAGAAATATCTTAATTGAGGTAAATACATTAAACCTCACATTACACCTCCTACGTGGACCGGTTTAATTGACCCCATTCACTTCTGAGTTTGTTAAAACAGAGAGATACACTGTTTATAGTTGCTTAAATGTGTTATTTATGATTATGTTATTTGTGATTATGCCAAAGTTCCATGAATTTCTCTGAAAAAAATCAGACTAGGCTTATATCATTTTGACATAAAGCTTCCCGAAACCAGGCTGAGTTTTTGAATTGCCTCTTACCCTATCTGGATGGACTGACTTTATTCTACTTTTTCCCTCAACAAATGACTGATTTTCATTTAATAATTTATTGCTTTATTTTCCAAGATGCTCTTATTTGTTTGTTTTGGTTTGGGTTTTTTTGGACTTTGTGGGGAGAACACCTTTCTTTCGCAGCTAAGACAAGATTTCTGCAGTACACTTTTGAGAACAATTCTTGTTGCAACTGTCTTCGTGTATAGGAGAAAAACTTTAATTTTGCTGAGTGATTTCTATCCTTTTAAGAAAATCAAATTTCATTTCTGCTGTGTGACATATTGCTTTCCAGTGGATGATGCCTTCTCACAGACGGTAAAGGAAATATTTGGAGGCAATGCAGATAAAAAAAACCTAGTGGATCCTTTTGTAGAAGTTTCCTTTGCTGGAAAAAAGGTTTGTATGTGATCTAACGCAGACGCCTCTAGAAATAAATATTTAAACCACTGTGCTTTCCTTGGAGTGAATTCCTGTTTACTCTTTGTTAAAGTAGCCCCCTGATGATTTGGGAAGTTTGCACGAATGTAGATCATCTGAGTCGGAACATGCAGACTTCTCCACGGGTTTATTTTGGAGTGGAAAGTATGCAGGATTCAAATTAGAAAATTCGATCTTTTGAAAGAATAGAACGTGAAAACTATCAATGAATTATTTGGATTATTTCTCAGATCCAAGCATTGTCTTAATCTAAGGCAAGCTCCCTCACGGGCAACAATGATCCCTGGTAAATAAATGTAGAATATAGGCCCCAATGCCCAGCTGCCCACTCCCTTCATGCTTCTCACTTCCGAGGCCCCAGTGAGCTGCCGAAACTGGATAGCAGGCAGGGGAGCCCCATCCCAGTCCGCTGGGAAGAGCCAGGGGACTCTTGGTGCAGACACATCTGTAAACACCAGTTTTACCTACTAAGAAGGTCAAAGATGGGAGACTGGGATTCTGTAGTAGAATAACAATGCACCATGGACAGCTGTAGGCATGAAGAACTAGCATCTTCTGTATAGTTGAACCATTTAGTTATGAACACGAGATTTGGCAAACCACACACCTAAGGACCAAGTGTCATTTCCTAGGAGAGTTGGTGGTGGGGGGAGGGGTGGAGAATCTCAGTTCTGGAGTGAGATTTAAATTCAGACTTTAGCCCACTCCAGAGGCAGTTAAGGCAAATTCCTTAATCTCTCAGTGTCAATTTCCTGAACTATAAATCAGGATAATAATACTCTCATAGGATTGTTGATAAGGGTTAATTCATTAGAGAAGTAATTATTGTGAGCCTACTAAATACCAATACTGCCCCATATGCTGGGGATAGAGAAGTCAGCAAGACAGTCATGGCTTTCCTGGGGCTTCCTTTGTAGTAGAAGGGACAGCAGTTAACAAGCAGACAAGTAATTTCATGATTTTAGATAGTGCCCAGTCCTATGCAGAAAACAGAGCAGGGGACAAGAAGTTATTGGTACAAAGGGTTGGAGGGGTGGGTTTTCGCTAGGTTATCAGATGGGACACCTTTGAGGAAGTGACATTGGAGCAGAGGTCTGGATGATGTGAGGTCTGGGTGGGAGGCAGGGGCTTCCAGGCAGAGAGAAGAGCAGATGTAAAGGCCCCAAGAGGAAGACACATTTGCAGTGAAAGAATCTCCATGCGGCTGTAGGGCAATGAGCCAGGGGAAGTGAAGAGATGAAATCAGAGAGATTTGGGGTGGGGGGAGACGGGCAGGCTGGGTTTTATCAGCCAGAGTAGGGTCTAGACTTTATTCTGAGCGTGCTTGGAGAGCTCACTGAGACTGCTGCACAGGGGGTGCCATGAAAGTAAGGAGGCGGGAGAGGGCTCATGCGTCAGACAGAAGCCAACAGCAGGTGTCAGCGGGGGTCGGGTGGGGATCAGCATTTGCATGAAGCTGGGGTGTCAGGATTTACTAGCAGACTGGGTGAGGCATGTGAGGGCGAGAGAGATGTGGCTGACTGGTTTTGACAGGAGCTGGTTTGGGGAGCAGGGAGCGGGGCTGGTGGCCAGGATCAAAAGATCTGTGTGTACACGCTAATGAAGAGGTACTTCTTAGTCTGTAATAGGTGCTCAATAAACATTAACTCTTGCATCATTTCGCTAATCCAAAGTTAGAAACCTGGTGATTGAAAACTAACTTTTAGTGCATAGAAGGAGGAAAGATAAATATTAAACCCATGCTATATTTACCAAATAGTTGGAAGAGAAATAAACTTTAATCAGGCTACTAAGTATATAACTGGTAAGTAAACTGCTGGAGTCCTAATCTAGAATGCCTATGTTGTGAATTTATGGAAATGAGAATCGTGAATACCTACTGTTTTGATAATTTTACAGATTTGCACAAATATAATTGAAAAAAATGCAAACCCTGAGTGGAATCAAGTCGTTACTCTTCAGATCAAGGTTTGGCTTTTATTTTCCTTTTGGAACAAGTAAGACTACATACTTTAATAGTTGAGAAATAAGTTGAATAAGTTGAAAAATAACTACTTTGTTCTGTTTCTTTTTAACAGTTTCCTTCAGTGTGTGAAAAAATAAAACTAACAATATATGACTGGTGAGTTAAAAAATAAACTTGTGTCTAATTCAGAATTAAAGAATTGATGTTTGGATGCTGAGGAACATTACTCCAAGTGGGCTCTTACTTTTCAGTCTGTTTCTTTTTCTTCCAGAGGGAGGTGATAAATTCCTCCAGGAATCGGGTGTTTTCTTTTTAAAAAAAATTAATAATGGTATTGTTGCAGAAACCCATTGTATATCTTGGTTCAATTGCTCATAAACAAAAGAAGGGAAAACGATCTGAAAATGCCCCAAGATAATAAATCAAGAATTTAAATTGCATTTAGGCTGTCCAAAACAGACTTCAGAAATGGAGTAAACCATTTCTTGGGAAGAATCACCAAAACGTTCCGACAGCTATTCTGTTATGATTAGAAAGGAAAATAGACAAAGCTACCTATCTGATTGAATGCAAAGAAAATTCATTGGAAGATTCTGATGGAATGTTAACTAGACCATCCTCCCAGTTAGGGATGGCCATAATAAGGCCATTCTTGTGTAATGTTCTAGTTGGATGAGGCATTCAGTTGGCAGTCCTTAACTCCTTGAGAATGAACATGGCAAATACTGCCTCCCTCCTCCTCCTCAGCGTTTATTCTGGTGTTAGCTACCATTTTTTGAGCACTACTAGGTCAACTGCAATGTCCCATTTAGTCTTTCAAGTAACGCTATGGGTTAGAGATTATTATTCGTTCACAGATGAAGATACTAGGCTCAGAGAGGTCAGGTGACTTGCTCACACTCACTCAGACAGTTAGAGACTGAGTTGGGCCCCCATCCAGTCTGCCTGTCTCCAGGGTTTTTCCGTTGGCAGAACTGATCTGGCTTTTGTGTTAGCACCTTCTTGGTACTATGGCAGCAGGGCACTTTGGGAGGAGGGTAGTAAGTCTCATTTTGTTCAATGACCACATCACCCTTTATTGAAGGTCATGGAGGGGTTATGAGGACAAAAAACCCCTTCCAGTGAGTGTCAGCTTGATTTAAGCGCTTGGGACCTTCTGGCAACATCCGGAAGGTGCTCCATGGTCTCAGGAATGCTCAGGAATGTGGACGTGGGCCTATATAGTTGAGGTGACTTCTCTGGCTTAGCTTTGCAGTGAGTTGATAGCAGATTGAGCCATCCCGGAGTTGCCTGTGATCACTACAAATGTGGTTACTTTCTGACCTAGTCTGCCCTCTCCAAACCAATAGTGTAGACTAGGATGCACAGAGAGGCCCTGTTTAAGGAATCCTTGGACCTAAATCTTAGGTTACGTGAAGCTAAGAATTCTTTAAATGTGGTCTAGATCCTTTTGGATGAACAGAGAAGACTTAAGACCCATGCATGTGGCTTCATATCCTTAAACAATAATTTTTTTCTCATACACACTGTTTCATTAGTCACTTTCTACAATCTAATATTATACTATACAATGTATATCATATGTAACGTGGGATATTACTATAATACAGTATAATAATATTACACTGTAGTATAATCTTTCCCCCAAATACTGAACCTTTCCTCTCTCCCATGGGGTCTTAGATTTCAGAGTGAGTATACCACTATATGGAATAAAGAAGAGGATGAATTAAGCAGAGAGATGTTATTAATAGAAACCTTATTTTTTGGGCACCTAGGTGGCTCAGTTGGTTAAGCAACTGCCTTCGGCTCAGG